CCTCTGTAGAAAAACAGTAAACGGTTCTACAAACGTTTATTTTTAGTATCTAATCGCGCATCAAACAGCCGATCGCTGTCAATGGAACGGTTTTCTGAATTTTCCACCCCTTAACACCACCGGAAGTCAGATTCAATCGAAATTTCTTTCTAATACTTCAAACTGCGTGGGCTTTTTGTTCTCAAAGAATCTTCTAATTCCCCCCGTTTAACCTGCCACTGCTCAAATACAGACAAGAATCTTACACTCTTGATCAGTTTTGAGTCACACTGGAATAATTATTCATATTGATTTAGTGCTTTGTCAGTTCTTGTGAAGCAAATATGAAAAAAAAAACAAAACAAAAAAACAAATCGTGAACAGCGATTGATGAACGATGTCTTCACCTCTCGATTTCCGCCCTGCTACCAACCCATTTCCGGTTTTACGAAATCAAGTAACTCGTGACATTTTCTTACACATTGCACGAGAAATAAAGCTATTCTGATTTAAGCGGAACTTAATAAAAGTTTCCCTTAAATGTCTTAACAGAGCGCATTGACACCCACGCGTAAAAACACTTGGTACGGAGGGGTATTGTTAAAATAGCGAGAGGGGGTGGGGGGAGGAGGGCGTTGAAAAAGAAATTGTGAAGAAAATTTTGAGTACTTTTAATATAAGAACAAAAAGTTGACATGAGTTTCACTGAATAGTATAATTTTTAAACAACTCATATTGTCCTATTCAAATTTAATTTTCATACTTGCAGTTTAGCTCTAGCTAAGCCGAAGGATTTTGCATTTTTGTGTACATGTATCTAACACTAACAGCTAAAACTGTTGAAGTAAACAACGATTAAACAAACACGGCCAACAACAGGTGGAAAAGTTTCAGGGCTAAAAACTCCGAGGCTAAAAATATATATTGTGCGATAAGCGTACTGTTTTACATATGTATTCCAGACTCTCCGCTCTTGCTTGGCTCCACAAAAATTTTTATATTGACATGGCGACAAGAAGGTTCAATTTACAGTTAAGATCGTTTGTTGGACTTGTCAAATGTTTTGATCCTTCGCTGCCGGAAAACAAAGGGATCTGTTTGGGCCTGTACCTCAGACTAGTCATATCCATTCGCATTAACAAAATTAAAATCGAAGCTTTTACAACGATTTTTTTCTAATCCAAAGTCCAAAGAACGAGTCCAAAAGAGGGGTGAATATCACGATGATCTGTTGAAAAAGCGATCTTGCTGAAGGGAACCGCCTTGAAAAGTGTAATGCCTAAATTAGTTTCAGTGTGATCACAGCTGATTTGGTGTTGCGTGAAAAAATATTCTAGAAACAAAGCACCTCTCTACCTCGCCCCTCTCCACTGGGGCTGTATCGGTTCTTTGTTTTCAAACCAGACCAATGAAATTCGAGAACTCACTTGTGATGAGCCCATGGAGCAGGCGCAGTAGCTACTAAGGGATGACGTTAACCCCGGGGGGAGATACCGTCAGTTGCTTTATCCGGTCAATGGCGTATATCATCGGTCATGGAACTGACGAAGCTCTCGAACAGCGCAAGCTAAAATCCGTCGACTCGAATAGAGATTTTCAAATGCGAGGTGTTCACCTCATTCGCCAGAGTTGAAAATTTCACCATACTTCCTTTGGGAGTGTTCAACGACTCAATAACGACATCTTTTGTGTGTCTGTATTCTTAAAATTCCTCTTTGGGAAACGAAACTCGACTTCCTTGCGGGGAGAGATCCAAATAAGTGCGATTTTGCTGCAATTCATCGTTGAGTTCCTGCTTTCTTGAAAAGCCCTTTGGATACTTCAAGGCATTGTTTGTGCGTGCAAGTGTTTTCCAGTGTTGGATAGCGATTTTGTATATGTTTAAGGTGAGTGAATGAGGCGTGAAACGCTGAAGATCGATTTTGCAGTCTTGGGAACGTGCAGAAACATGTAACTTTGCACTGTGCTACGTGTAGGGGGGTATCGATCTACCTCGTGTAGTTTTCCCCAGGTTTTTATCAGTACTCTCGAGTCCCAAGACTGTTAAAGCGATTTCTTTCGAGAGAGAAAATCGGTGAATTTCAAATACGATGAAGCGCTTCTAAATCGGGCGCTTTGTCGTAATGTTGTGGTCCTTTGTTCGGGCTTGTCAACTGTTCAGAAATTTCAATAGAAAATATGCTGCTACAGCAAGATCGCTTTTGTAAAAGCAAAGCTATTCGTGTCTATTATAATGATGTTTCCAAAGTGCTTATTTTGTTGTCATTTAAGATTTAAATTTCGGTTTAAACTGTACTTTCTCAGTGCGAAGAGATCATATTGAGCTTTGTTATGCATTCGTCAAATTCACATGACCTCAAGGCAGTCTCTAAAGAATTTATTTCACAGCTCGGCACTTTTGACACTTTCTTCTTTATGTATGATGTTGAGTGGATGAAGTCGTAAATTTTAGTATTATAGTGACCGAAAAGTCTCATTTAAGTTTTACTTAGGCCATCCAAAGTCCACGAAATGTTCAATATACTACAATGTCCTTGTTTGTGACTGCACTTCAACAGGAAGTCTCGTAGTTTAGTTTTTGCTTATGAATGCATATCTCGCTTTGGTCACGAAACTTCTTGCTCGGGAATTCGAAAGTTCAGAGAGCTCGTGTTTTGTAATCTCTCAAAGCACGTTTAATCAAACATTTCAAAGTTGTGGATAAGGGCTTTGATCAACTTTTATAGGTATTCGTTTTCATTCCCAGCTGTATAATCTCGTTATAAACATAAATTAACATCTACGTAACAGTCGCCAGTTCGATGCGGTTGTAATATTTTGGAAATGTTTCTCAAGTTTTTCGCGGTATTCATAGCTTTTTGATGACCTGAAGATAGTTTACTTTGTGAAAGGAAACAAGATTGCTGGGAACATGTTCCAACGTAATCAACGAAAAAAAAAAACTCATTTGCAGCCATTTATAGTAACATACACAACGCAGCTATTTTCTTGTCCGTACATATATCATGTACGAGCATCGTGTCTTGACACAACATAGGGCCAGGGTGTTATACTTAATTATGAGTAATAATTGCATGATTGTTTAAGACATGATTCTGCTTTTCTTCTTTTAATACCACTAAAATTTTCAGGAATTAAATTTTTACTTCAAACAACATGTACTGGAAGAACGATTTTTATAGTTAAATTTAGAATATCTTGTACAATGTGAAGAGGGACATATCTTTGCTATGATTTTTAAAGGCTTGGTATGAAAGTATCAACAGACTTAATATATGACTCGTTGCTTTAGAATTTCGTTTCTCCTGACCTCGCACTTTCAAATCAGAGTTAGTCCAATAAGGAGTCGTTAAGCGATACAGGGGGATTTTGGTCTCTTTGTGAATGAGGAAAGAGTACAATTTTGATTTGTTTTCTCGGAAATGAAACTGCATCAACAAAAATAGAAGTTTTGTGGTATGACTTGAGTTTTTGATGAGTTATGTGCTTTCAGTTTGTTTTTTAGTTTTCTGATTGCCAAGCTGTTGGTAAGTGTTTCTAGAAGAAAGAGTGTATTATGGTGCAAAATTCTTTCATGCAAGGCTGACTGAAATATGTGTAAACAGGAAGCTCTTTCTTCTTTCTAATGATTAATTTACAGCCTCTCATTTTATTCCTAAGCCATAGTATAGGTATTTTGTGAATTATCCGTATGTGTGCCTGTTACGTACTGTTTGAAGTTTTATACATGAAATGAAACACGTGGGCCTTGATTACTTGTACAAAAGATTTATCTTATTTACTTTTCAAGTCATGTGAAAAGGTCACTAGAATTCAGTTCTATTTCTAGAGATGTGAAAGTTAGGTTAAATTTAGTGCAACTAGTGGGCTTCAGCATTTTGAACATGTAGAGCTTGAATTGGAAAGAGGCAGAGAAGTTGTCTTTTAAATTGTCTTTAAAAAATCTTATTGTACTTGTATAAAGGTGAGGATAATTTTGTTTGACTCCTTGTTTAGCCATTTAGGGATGTAATGCTGACTTTGTTATACATGTGTACTAAATTAAGTATGGTCCACAGACTGAAGCATTTAAATTTCTCCATTTTTTAAGTAAGGAAATAGATTATCTGATGGTGGTAATTTTACATGACATGTACACATGCTAAATATTTCCTTTCTTAGAAACCTGTTTTATCAGCATTATAGAAAGTGGTTTTACTTCTGTCACATGACTGTATGATTCAGCATATTTCAATTTACTGGCTCTAAGCCATGATGAATCATTAATGTTTTGGTTGTGAGTTAAATGTTTCTTTAAACTTTGTACAAATCTATGGATTGGAAGTTAAGGAAATTTTATGGTGGTAACAACCAAAATGCAGCAAGGATCAGTGGTCTGCCTTTGTCTTCCACTTTCTGTTTTTCCCATTTTATCTATAATTTGTTTTTTTTTTAATTTGATGGATTCCTATTGTGTTTGTAACTACTTAGTGACAAGTTTTACTTCCTTATCATATGGGAAAAGGTTAAGCATGTGCTACAACTTATTTCCTTAAAAGGAAACATTTGAAAGTGGATTTGTCATGGTTCATGTTTGTTTGAATTTAGTTTGAATATGGCAGAAGTGTATTCATACCTGAAGAACAGCAAGAAATGTATTTTTACAACATGTTTTTATAGTTCCTTGTTCATATTTTATATATTAACTTACCACAGTGGTATATATACTTAGAGGAGACATTGATGTTTGACTCAGAAACTACCTTAACCTTTATTCTGAATAACACTTGGTAGTAAGATGCAAAAATGAGGTTAACAGTCATTTTAAAATACTTATTTTATTATTAAGTTTATGGTTGATCTACTGGATACTGATATTTTTATACTGACAGCACATTTATTGGAATGTCAGTGGTGTGTTCTGCTTTGTTAGAAGTCTTGATATTGGTGTTGGTTAAAATTTGTGGCTTCCTTTGTATGACATTTGTATCCATTTGTATTTGAAACAACTTCATGTCTAATTTTTCATTATTTCATTGCAGGATACCCATGGTATTTAGCATCAATTAATTTCTGTAAAACTGCAGTGTGTGCATTAGTGGGTATCAATCATGCCGATTCAAACACCTCAATGGACAGAATTTCTTCAGTGTCCAATATGTTACAATGAATTTGACAATCATGACAGGCAGCCAATCAGCTTGGGATGTGGACACACATTATGTGTTTCCTGCTTGTCAAAACTGTCTAAAACACAGTGCCCTTTTGATCAGGCTTCTGTAGAGACAGACATAACCAAACTTCCATACAACTATGCATTGCTTCAATTAGTTGGAGTGGAAATACCAGACAACGGGCTTCCCCCAATTGACAGTGTTAAAGAAAATGCCACTTATTTTAAAAAATCGATAAGCTGTATTGAAAAGCTTGCCCTGTTCTTGAAACCTGTCAATGGTACTGTTAATGGTACAGTGAATGGAAACGTCAATGGCAGCACCTGTAATGGTTCTGTCAACAGCAATGGGAATAACATCCTTACAAGACCCATGCAGCGTAAGCTTGTGACATTAGTTAACTGTCAATTGGCTGAGGGTGATGGCCGAACTAGAGCCATGCGTGCGGCCAGAAGCTTGGGAGAAAGGACAGTTACAGAGCTCATTTTGTTACATCAAAATCAGCAACAGCTCTCAGCTAATTTATGGGCTGCCGTACGGAATCGTGGTTGTCAGTTTTTAGGACCAGCCATGCAGGAAGAAGCTTTGAAACTGATTTTATTGGCTCTTGAGGGTGGTGAGGCTTTGTCCAGAAAGGTTTTGGTTCTTTTTGTGGTCCAGAAGCTGGAATCTCAGTTTCCGCAGGCGTCCAAAACAAGTATTGGCCATGTAGTGCAGTTGCTTTACAGAGCATCCTGTTTTAAGGTGAGTTTATGCTCCATTAGGGAGGATGTCAGTGGATGTCTGTTAAAAATATGACTAAAAAGTGCAGTCTACGCAGAGGACTTTGTTTTTTATGTACAGTAGGTAATCAAGTGTTCCATGCCTGTAGTAGATTATAAATGTAATTAAGAGGTTTCTGTGTGATGCACTGTGTATGTATTACTAAAATTGCATTTTACAAGTGCTGAACTGCGAATGTTGACTCAATTTTTTCATTCAGGTTGAGAAAAAGAACAATGAATCATCTCTGATGCAGCTCAAAGAACAGGTACAGTTTTAATGAAATAGTTCATAAGTGTTTTAAGATGTATCTACCATTCAATTTCCAGGTTGGTTAATTTTTTCAAGTGAATACACATTTGCTAATGATTGTAGTGGTTGTACTTGTTAGACTTAAAATCACTATTTCATTCTTTTTTTTTTTTTTTGCCATCAGTACCGTACCTATGATGCACTGCGGAAAGAACATGATGCACAGATTGTGCAAATTGCAACAGAAGCAGGGCTGCGCATTCTCCCAGACCAGTGGTCCTCACTGCTCTATGGGGACATGGATCACAAGTCTCACATGCAGTCTATCATTGACAAGGTATGGTGTTGAGTTATGGTTTCAGCTTTAACGTTGTAAAACCCTACATGTAATACAATGGAACTAAGCTTGTTGGAAATATTTTTGACATTATTGTTCAAGATTCAAAGCAGCAGTGCCATCATTGTAATTCTATCAAGGAAAGACCTGTCAATTTTTCAAAGGAGTGGTGTGCATCACAATTTTATCAGTAGAAATGGTAGCAGTACTGTTAAGACTAATTTATTTATTTTGTTTTTAGCTCCAAACACCTGCCTCATTCTCCCAGAGTATCCAAGAGCTGATCATTGCCCTACAGAGATCTGGTGATCCTGGGAATCTTTGTCAAATGAGAGATCAGTTTGAATTACTGTCCCAAATTGATGCTTCTCCAGGTTTGTGTGGCACTCTCTTTTGCAAGCATGTCAAGTTATCACATACAGAAGCACATGAATTTTCATTGACTGAAGCTTAAATAAGTTCTTGACATTAGTGGCCTGTTTTGTTTAAGTTTTTCTTTATAACTGGAGGATCATACACATGAAGACACCCAAGTTACACAATTACAAGTACATGTACTTCAAGGCCAAAAACAATATTGCATTACCAGTTAAGATAACGTGTGTCTTTAATTTTCCCTGCAGAGGCATCATGTCCAGCCTGGGATGAACTAGAACAAGCCATGGTTTCTGTGCATTCTGTGGTCCATGGACTTGTTGATTTTTCAAAAGTGAGTGATGGTGTTTTTTTTCTTTCAAAATAAAAGCCACTCATTCCTTGATTTGACTCTCTTTTGATTACATGAAAACTACATGAGAGCTCTTTTGGCAGAGGGAGGATGATCATTGTGATTAAGGTTGCTTTTGGCAAAGGCTAATTTGAAACATCTGCAGGCCCATCATTACAAAAGAACAGATTTGAAAAAAAGCACTAGATGCATACAGAAGCAGCAAGAACAACCATTGAATATATAAGGGTCTCTTAATATAAGTAGATCATAACCATTGCTGACAGTTTTAGTAATCATAAAAGTACTGAGTAGTACAAAGCATAGCTTATGCTTTTCCTTTATTTTGAATATTATTAGTCACATGGCAGAGGAATGAAAGGATCTGGTGATCCACCACAAGTAAGTACAATTTGAAGTTTTTTGTTTTTGTTGTAAATTTCTTTAATTTCCAGTGATCTTGATTTAGTCTTACTCACTGTAGTCTTATTTGTGCATCAATCCAGGCAGGTGTACTAGTAAACTGGGTCTAGATTATCCCTAAAAGCAAAGTAATAAGTGTAGTATTTACATTGGTTCTTTTCAGGATAATAGCAATTTTTTTCCTCCTCTTTTTTTAGTCACACAACAACAAGTTCAAAACCAGTATGTGCAGGGATCACACAAGAGGAGGATGTCCTAGAGGTCCCCACTGCACATTTGCACACTCAGAGGAGGAGTTAGAGAAGTGGGTGTTGATCTGATTCTTTGCTTTAAAGTTTAACAATTAATTTTCATGCTGAGCTATTGTTAGGTACAAATACTATTGTGTTTTTTTTGGGTTGCAGTATCCTAAAGTCTTATTTCCAAAGCCTACAATAAACATTTGGACATGAATCACAGTAGACCTCTTATAGATGAGTAATATCAGCCACATCACAAATTCAAGTTTCTTTCTATGATCATGGATTGTATATTGTGTCTTAGAAAAATGAAAATAAAAGCTGATCTAAACATGTCAAACACATTATTTTTTTCAACAACCAGGGTTTGAGCAGTAATCCATGTTCTTCTTTAATGTGTGTCACTTTTAATCCCAGATTTGGTAGAAGAAGAGCTCCAAGGCCTCGGCCCTCACCCATTGCTAGAGGACCAGGACCATCTGTAGCACCAGATCAGTTTTCACCCCTTGAAAATGGTTGTGATGGCAGTCCAACAGCTACCCAGGCTCCTACAAATGGTGTGAATGGCTCTGCAAGGTCATCTCCTCTTTACATTTCTCCTGGTAAGAATTATTGTGAGTTTATTACATTGTAGTCTCTGATTGTGTCTTGCTCCCTCTTTTCTCATGTCCGGTTCACTTAAAGTATGTACAGATACATGTATCTCCCCCAAAATCACATAAGGCTTTATTCTACACACCCCTTCCATTTGGCTCTGTGAACTGTCACTGAGATAACACTGGTTTGTTCTTCAGGTGATGTCCCACAGTCCACTAATTGTTATGTACCTCAGGCTCAAATGGGTCGCCGAGACAGCCAGGAACAGATACTGGCACATAGAATGAAGCAAGTATCCTTGCACCCAAATGACCCTCAGTATCCAAATGGCTTCTGCGGTCAGCGTCCAGCTTATGATCATTATGTATCTTCACCTGGAAGGGAGAGACAGCAGTTTTTCCCATACTACACTCCTTCAGCTGGTCACCCTGGAGGTTCATATTCCAGTGTGGTTTCCAGGGGGAAGGATGTTCCAGTCGGTAAGAAATAGTTATATTCCTCATGAAACTAGTGGACATTATTGCATGGAGAAGACTAGCAGAAGAAATTCATAACCTTGTAATCTGCATCAGAAGTGACTTCATCTTGTGAGAAATGAGAACACTACATTGTTGTTAAATGTTTTGCATTACACTATTGGCTTGATTTATGCAGTACATGTAACTGAAACAGGGATAAGGTCTTGATTTGGAAAGAATAACTGTTTACAGGAACTTCTCAGAGCTGGGTGTCACTCTCGTTGTCAACAAAACAATCTTGAACCCTTTAACCTCTAAGAGCACCTAGCATCAAATTTCACCTTAGGATCAGCTTTGAGTCCAACATTAAGGTCACGAGAATAAAAGAAATGATTGTCAACTTAACCCTTTAACTCCCAGATAAAATTTTAAATTCTCCTTTCTGTCAACCATACAATTCTTATCGTGTTAGTTCAGATAATTTAGTGTTGGATCAACGAGTTATCCCCAAATTGATATTTTTCTTTATTCTCAACACTTATCTGGTTGATATTGTATTGATATTGTAAGGAGAAACTCTGTCTTGGTCACTCAATACCATGGTAAAATTAAGGTAAAACAGTAGGGAGAATACATATAAATTATGTTGATAGGGTGTAGAGGGCTAAAGCTGTTTTTTTTTGTTTTTCGTTTTTTTTTTTTCACCCATTTTCACAGGGGTTATGACTCCACCACGAAGTTCTCCTTTGACTGTCCAAGATGAAGGATCTGGACTGAATGGCATGGTGAACGGAATGGCAAATGGCTTGGCAAATGGAATGACTAATGGCATGCCAAATGGTTTATCGAATGGCATATCAAATGGCCATATTGACCATCATGTGGGTAGGGTTGATCACCCTTCTCTGTACAATGGTAGACACAGAACTCGACCCTTGCAGCCACAGCCCGGAAGTTACCACACCTATGATCATTCATATGGTGGCTTTCCTTCAGACCCAACTTATTACAGGTAGATTGCCGCTGCTGCCACAATATGTACTGCTTGTCCAAGACATAGCAGTATTCAAAGTTTAACTTTGAAATGTGCATGTGCTTTGCAGTTTTGTCATCCATTAAAGACGATTTATTGAATAAGAGATCTGAGGATTGAATGGCAAGGTTTTGTCTCATGGTGTTTACCCTGTCTGGGACTGACCGTCTGTTTTATTGTAGAATAACATGACCTTTTTCCAGATTTGGTTTTGATTCCCAAAGCAGTGATGAATACAGTTCAAGGAACTGGACAGTTGTGAAATTCTGTAAATAGAGTGGTCTAGTTAGCAAGTTGTTGGAGATATTGTAAAGTCTTTTGAGTTTATTGAAGATGTCCCGAAACTTCTGAATATTGCAACAAAATCAAAACTCAACTTACAAGTAGATTAACACGCTAACGAGAAGGTTTAGTTTATAGACCTTAGTTTTATAAAAGTCGGATGACGTTATCCAACGGATAAATGGCTCTTCAGCGGATAAGTGATTGCAAAACCTACTACGCTGCCCACCGAATAGGGATTTATCCAACCTTTGAACGACTGGGGCCTGGACAACAAGTGTCCTGTATTCAATAGATTTATGCGTTTTATCTGCAACTCTTAGGCGATAGGAGTTTGCAGACCAGTATTTTGTTGTAATCCTTTCTCTCAGGCACATTCTTATTCAATCTTCTGTTGTATTTCATTACCTTTGTGAACAGTGCTCCACCAGATTACTACACCTCGCATTACAGTGGGAGGCAGTTGTCGTCCTATGAACAAGTTCATGGTGTGATGGGGTACCCATATACGCAGCGCGGTGATTACTACCCTCACTCAAGGATAATTGACTACCCTGAAACTATCATGCATAGGGGGATTCTACTGCCACAGGGAAGGAGTCCTTACATTCCATCGGATATTGGCGATGATAAGGTTTGTTCATCTGTACATGTTTTCTCTGTACACTCTGTAATCTGATTCTCCATGCACTGGAATCACGAAAAACCAGTTTTAAATGATACTAGTGCACTTCTCGGCGGTGCTTTCCAGTTTTTTTTTAATTTTTTTTTTTTTGTCATCAGTATCTTTTATCCTCACCTGAATCAATATAGAATCACTTGTCAACACTTGCACCCGTAAATGATGCTATTTTTGTGTGAAATTTTTCCAGAATGACATATTATCCCAGCGGAAAAGCGATGCGACCCTTGACTTTGATCCGTCTGAGGTTTGGAGGAAGGACAATGACAGTGGTGTCAGCTGTGGTTCCCCTCTGAGCCACTCTCCTGCAGCCAGTCAATCGTCAAACTCCAGCTTGTCACCAAGGCAACAGTCCCCTGTAGGGTGGCAACATGGTAATGATGCTACTGACATTTGGAGAAACATAAATGAAGACAGCAATGGTTTCCCGTCATCTTTAACCATCACTGACTCGACGCAAATTTGGAGTCCACCTCGTGGAAATGAGGTATTCTTAAAACACATTGAATCTTTGAACTATAATTGAGCTCTTTGCCAAATAATTGATCTTTTGACTTGTAGCCTTTGTGTGGCTATCTCAAACTAATCTTAGCTCAATTTATTTTTAGCATTCTCAGGTGCGCAAGTTATGGCATCCACTTTATGACTTGAATGACGAATGGTCGAGGTAGGCATAAAAGGATTCTGTTTTGGTTTTAACTTATTAAAAGGAGGGAAGGGAAACGGATTGGGGAGTGGAAGATTGTGTACTATTTGAACCTGCTGTTAGCTAAGGAAGCGTTAAACCATTTAAGACACAAAATAACCGCATGTAAATAGTTTGAAAGGTTGTTTGGATTTTTTTCTGCGTGATATTCAAACCCAGGAAAGGTAGACCATGGTAGCTTATCTTGCAACCTGCCTGCAGATGTTAATTGTTACGCAGCGTTGAAATTGTTTTACGTGATAAAAGCGAAAGATTCTAGTGGTATTTTAATGTTCTTATTTACCAGCCAAGAGGAGCAGATCAAAAAAGATGAACAGTATGCACGTGCTCTTCAGGAACAGCTGAAGCAAGGTGAAACAACAACCCCTCCGGAAACAAGAGGAAGCGAGCTACCATCGCAGGGCCGTGACCCACAAGTGAGTAAGAAGGTCAGGGGGGTGCATTAACGACAGCTCGTTTACCTTACATAATGTGATTTCAGTAAATTCAAATTTTGGTTGTTAGTAGTATTTTTAAGGTCTTCACCAAAGGCAAGGTTTCTTCGAGGTGTTGTTTTACCTTCTCTACCAGAATTTTCTTCAGCACATAGTGATTTCTCCGCGTAAACTGACCCTCACTTTCCCTTCCAGGATGTTCCTGACCGCGGCTTGACTATTGATAACTTAGAGACCGAGGCCGAAATGAAGCGGAGAAAGCACGAAGAACACAGGCGCCTGCTACAGGAACGCCGACAACTTCTCCAACAACAAGAGCGAGAAAAGCAGGAACGTGACGACCGCAAACTTGCGGAAGAATTGGCGCTTCGGGATGCTCAGCAAGCCGGCATAGTACCAGATCCTCGCTGTATCGTGAAGCCTTCTTTTGCCAACGTGATCTCCCGCGGGGCCCCCATGGGGCTTGGCTTCAGTGGTAAGGGTAGTGATATTCCAGGGGAGCATGACCCTTTCCGTGGGTTGAGCAGCTACCGTAGCTCCTGTGCATCCTCTTGGACCAGTAGTGATGACGTCATGGATGCGTCAAAGGTGACGTCAGGCTGTAACGGAGATATCCGCGTGCAAGAGTGAAATGTTGTCAATGTTAAATAGAAATCGTCATTGTACAAAGTGTTAGCTTGAATAATAACTTTTAAGAGTGTTGACGATTATGCAAAGAATCGCATCCGGGTCGAATCGCTTGACAGTTTCTTATTCTAGGTGTTTTATGGAATGTTCCCTTTTTACGGTGTGTTTAGCTTGATTCTCTCCCAGTTTAACTGGATATTTCGTCTTGTCTTTAACTAATCATTGTTAAATTCAAAGCACTTTTAAAGTGCCGGTCAGTAGTCAAGGTTTTCAGTGAAATGTTTATCAATGGTTCGTAGGAAACTGGTTGTATTTTTACAGAATTTTGGATTCTGTAAGCGTAATGATAGTGCAGCAATTAGTTTTAGAAATTACCGATTTCGAATTTTTGTGTTGACTTTTGATACTAGCGGGTTTGAATAGACAGTCAGACGTCAACTCTTTCCCAGACTCTTTCAATCTGTTGGTTGGAAGGGAAAAGCTGCGAATGAGGTTAAGCCTAAAGCGAGGAAGCTGTGATGCATGAGCTGTTCACAACGAAAATGCTTCAGAGCAGATGATTATCGCGTGATGAGACTGCACTTAAACAAATGCGATTGACATCAAAGGGTAAACTCCAAATTTATATAAACAAGTAGGAAATCGTTTCAATCAAAATGGTTAATTTGTTTTGATGTAAATCTATTGTGAAGAGAGCATGATTAGTGTTCAAGTTGAAATATCAATCTCTGTTATCTGCTTGAATCTCGAAGGCTTGAGGGAAGCACAGCTTTCCTCTCCATTCTGGAAAAACATTGCGAAAAGAAAAAGTGCAAGAGAGTTCAAGGATGATTTGTGTAGACGAATGCTTTTTACTCTTTTGAAGGACAGCGACGTTCGTTGTCGTTGAAGAATTAAACTGGACTCTCGTCTAGTAAATTAGTGATAAGCATGTCTTTGTGTATTTGGCCCAGGTGGCAGTAAGAGATTTGAGAGGCGAAATCGTATTATATTAGCTCTTTAACTGACCGAAGGCATTCGTTTATTCTTTCAAGAATCGTTTGATTAACTCTTGACAAACGTAGTGTCCATTGATAAATATGTATCGTGAGAAAAAAAATAATAATGTGATTTGACTTGCTGACAATTTATGGTGTCGTGTAAAACAATGGATGTATTTCGTCATTTCAGATAGAGTTAGTATTAACGAAAAGAAACTGTAAATTAGTATTGTGAAGTTATATTTTTGGCTAGGTCAGTGATACGTTTGTCTTGTTTATTTGATTTTAGTGATTTAGTATTGCCATATCTTCTGTATGTTACTTTTTCAAACATTTGCTCAATGGTTGTCCAATTTTTGGCATTGTCAATTTTTTAATTTGTTATTGCTATTATATATACATATACATGTCGTGAATTGTTAAAAATCGGTAATAAGGAAATGTGTTTTGTGTTTCTTAACCGTATATTTATATTGCGTAGTTTGGGTTGAAGCTGGGGGAGTTTTGTCCGTTGAATTTTAGATACAATCTGCCCTTTTTTTTAGCGTGAGTGCTTTCTAAAGTTTGCTAGGAAACAATTTAAGTTTATGAATTAATCAAATCTTCACGAAAAAAGCAACCAACTAGCTTTAAACTTTCGTTCATGTTCTTAAAAGATTAACTTTTGAATTCGGGTTCAAATGCGTGTTAATACTCATGAGGGTTTGAGATTTTGATATTTAACGAAATATTTCAGTGGCGATAAATTATTATTCCGCTCTGATCTGTAGTGATGGACTATGTGGGAGGGTTTGTAATTCTAAGAGTGGCGATTTGAAGGCATTACTCAGCCTATTAATTACTGCTATTAAAAAGAATTATGTATAATATTAGTACTCATTAGAAATATTAAAAGTAGGTCGTGACAATTTTGGCCCCAAAATTTATTTAGCGCCGCAGGTGCGCAAGTGTGCGGTACACCATAATTGGGCAACTTGTCGTTTTGTTTTCGTCGCATGGCTTTCATTTTTTCCTTGGGAGGAGAGACTCGGGAAGGTGTGAATTAAATCAAATGGAAGCCAAACTGTCGTAAAGGAACGAGTTGGTTGCGTCTTGATTATCATGATTCTAGCGCGGAAACAAAAGACACCAAACGATTGTAAACGCGTTGTTATAGTATATTTTATTGTACAATAAATTTGTATGTTGTTTACCAGTGGAAAAGGCTAATAAAAGTTGGTAATGTGAGATCAAAGGTTATCCTTTCGCGTGGCTTTAGGTAGTGAAATATGTTTTTTGCTAGAGATACGTTTTCATTCCTTTGTGCCGACTGTTTTTGAATATTGTGGGGAAATGACATTTTTTTCCATTCCTGTTTTCGTCTATTTTCAGCGCTGTTAAAAACGGAGCTAAGTCGCATGTCCAAAGTCTATTCCCTTTTCCTCCATTCAATTTTTGACAATTTTGACCGTTCTCGGAAATTGCTGTTTGATTTCGGACGCTTGCCTAAATTTTCGGATGGTTCCATTCATTGTCGGACCCTTGAGTCTGTTATCGGACTCTTTCGTCCGTATTCACAGTATTTGTCCGATGTTTCTTCCCGTAAGCTTTTGTCGCTCCGTTCATTTTTGTTCGAAAGGCTCCGCTCTAGAAGAAGTCTCTGGCCTATTTTTTTAATATCTATTATTGTTTATACAATAAGCATTGTTTTTAAGTATTCATGATATTTTCTCTTGACATAAAACGCACATGTATCGGTAAAAGCTCGGTTCATGCAACAGACGAGAAAACTTTCATCTTCGGCGCATGAAGTTATTCCAATCAAACATGGCCGCCAGACTAAAACGAGAAACTTGAATTCATGGAGAATTTTTGATTGAGCGTCTTTACTGCCAAAACTAAAGAAATCACAAGGGACAAAATGCTCTACAGAGCCAATGAGCGCTCAAAGGAAAAATGAGTGTTAGAGGCGCGGGAAAACGCGGATGACCAAGTCGCGATTGGTTTTCTAATCTTGAATCTTATTGGTTGGAGTTTTCTGCACCAATCACAGGTCACTTCCCGGATGACTTTCGTCACTCAATTGAAAACTGTATCGATCGCTGAAGCAATTCTCTATGCGCTCTATAAAGCGGTATGGACGAACTCTTGTCCGTTCAAATAAACATACCCCCCCCCCTTTTACAAATTACATTAAACCACGCGACATATCATGATAAAATTTGTGTTCCAAAAAAGAAAAATAGGCATGAATAAAACACACCTGGCTGATGGACTGCGTTGTGAATGAGTAGGTCTTGTTTTGACCGAACTGCAAATTTATAAAAACTTCTGAATGACTTCTGGATCTAAACATGGGTGATTTCACTAGCAACTTAGCCAAATTGGAGCTTTCACTTATTTAACAATCTAGTGTTACATCAGTCATTTCCAATTTATTTCCATGGGAAATGCTTACGTCTAGTTTTCTATCGCTGTATGGAAATGGATTTTGTGGCCTCCACATCTGGAGAGGCGTAGCGTGACAGCTGTAATCTACAGGCGTGGTTGCGAGCACATTACCATGCAAAACTGTTTCACCCTCTCTATTGGTAAACCAAACCCCGCGTTTGGCCAAGATAGCTGAAGAAACATCTTGCGTTCCTGCTGAGTCCCTCATCTATCCGCGGCATGTTACACATTTTTTGATTTCCTTCTTTATGTCCCTCTTAATCAGCCCGTAAAAAAAGGGATTCAGGGCAGAGTGAGCCAGAAGGAACAACCACGATATATTCATAGTGGTGTGAGGCGAGTGAGTCGGAGCTTCTGTGTTGCTGAAAGATTGTTTGAAATGAAGATAGGCTGCAAAGAGCCAGCAACCAACGAACACCAAGATCACGATGCCAAGTACCGTGATAGATCGATCGTGATTTGGATGTCTTGGTTTTGCCTTGAGAGGTGCAGTTTTACCATCTGTAGAGCGTTCCACATCAGATTCCATTCCAGCACTTGACAATTCGCTCTGTGCTCTACTCCTTGCACTGGCCACGGTCAGATTCGGTGCAGTGAATTCTGTTTCTTTCAGCACATCTTCTGCAGACATAGTAACGGAGTAGTTGAAGTCCACTTGATCTTTGAGGCGCTTCTCCTGTTTTTTATGTCTCTGTATGATGCACACGATTCGCAAGTACGCCAGAGGTAGCGCAATGCAAGGAAGTCCCACAAACAGGAGTGTTTCGGTGATGGCAAACGCTTTCATCCCCGTTCCCTGTTCCTCAGGACTCTTCAGCAGGTAGGTGAAGTGAAGGAGGGTCACGAATAAAGGAACGAACCAACATAACAAGATAGGGATCAAGTACTGACTGACTTCAATTACGACGGGGTACGTTAAAGGACGAGTGACAGACTTGTAACGATCCCAAGTCACCAGACATAAGCTCAACAGTGAGGTGTAGACGAAAAATTCGTACATCGCCAGCTGGATCTCTCTGGAGCATGTTGTCCAGTAGGTGCATAGTAACTCAGGTGGGGTTACAAACAAGCCCACGCACAAGTCCGCCAAGTTTAAGGACAGGACAAACTTGTTTGACAGGTTGCGTCGCAGCCTCCGTCTTGTTACGAGGAGAAATACCAGTGGGGTATTTCCGAGAATCGTGAAAAGTGCGAGAAACACTCGTATAGTCCAGTACAAGCGGCTTTTCGCAGGATTGAACGAATGAAGACGTTCTGTAGAAGGCCCCGCGGCAACTGAAGAGTTTGAACCAGTTGCCATTAAAATGATTGATCCAAGTTCTGAAGCAAGAAACAGAGATCAGCGCATAAGATCATAAGATCAGCGCATTACCTGAACTCTTTTTTTAAAGAACCTTTTTATGATAAAATTTGAGGCTGAAATTAATCCAATGTTGAGAGCGCTGGTGTTTAGAACGTGCCAAGCTGATAATAGAAGGTAACTAGGGACGAACGAAACCCTTTTATTTTCTATACATTTTTTCGGAACGAAAAGCACGCAGTAACACAGTGACCTCCACCTGTTTCCCAGAGCATAATTCTGTTTCTAAAGCAAGCAGAATTTTGGGCAGAAAACGTCATGTCTAAGAACTGAGTTGATCATTTAGACTGGCCACCGCAATTAATTTTTTAACCTATTCAAATTGTCTACTCAGTTGGTAAAACCAAATTACCTTGTAATATCCCCCACAGACAAAACACTACAGTTTCTTAGAAACTTACCCCTTTTATTCGTTGTTTACTAGTTTGGTGAGCAGATATGACACGCATTGGAATTGGAGACAAAGACTCCCGATACGAAATTAGAGACGTTTAAGACACCTGTTAGAGATACGTGCCTACTTTCAGCCCTGCAAGAAAATTTTCCCCGTACACTAAACATCTTTTTCTTTAGTTTTATTTGCTAAATAGACCAAGTTACTGGGGGAAAATTGAAGGAAAAAATATAAGAAACATGCATCAAAATAGCCGTAACTTAGATTTCAGCACCATTTTAATTTTTTTTGGTGCCGGTTTTTCTAAGCGGAAGATGATAAATGTTTGCTTACCTTGGGGACAGAATTCTGTTTCGCGAATGTTCTTATTATCAATTGTGCTGCCGTGTTGAACGTATGCAAATAGCAAAAAACGATGAGATGTTTGTCAGTAGAACGGAAAGATAAAATTAATTATGATAAAAATCCTTTATCAGTTATTTCCACAATACACCGTTTTGTCTCAAAAATTTTTGATTGCTACTGGGTTCATATCTTTGACTTTTAATTTTAATTTTTTGTTTTAATAACTTCTAGCTTACACCTGGAGGGTGTGTCGACATTTCTAAAAGTAAACCCGCTCATCAGGTTTCGTTCAAATAAGCAAAGCAAAGTTTTTTGATACAGAGCCAGTTTCATAATCATTCTAAGCTTTTGAGTCATGTCCTTGCTATTCCAGAGTTCCTTTTACAATACTTTTAAACGTCAGCAATCATTATCATAGTCCAATTAAAGCGATTTGATAAAGATGTCTTACCATCCTTGTCGATATATTTTGTTTAAGATCGAATGACAGCATATGAGAGCAATTCCGGTTGGCGCAATCGGCCTCTTTTTCTTTAATCTCCCTGAAAACTTTCTGGAACTCGGCGCGAACAGTGGGTGAGTTCTTTCACGTCTTCTACGTTAAGGGCAAAAACGTGCGTCTAAAAGTTTTAGTTCTTGACCAGGAGGCGTAAAACCACTTTCATATGTCCTTGTGAGGACTAAAAATTCCCAGTTATTCAAGATTACAAGTGTTGATCCAATTCAGAGCTCCAACCATCGACCACTCGCGCGGTATTACGGCACCGCCTCTTCCAATTTGTTCTTTGAGCTTCGTAATTTTTTTTCTCAGTTTTATCGTCAGAATCATCAGCCTTATTTCTATGGCTTTTTGAGGCTATTTTACAGTTGTATAAACCCAGTTAATGATATAAGCGAATTATGTTGTAGTATCTCCTATCGACGTAGCAATACATTTTCTTTAAAAACTTGCCCCCTTTATTGATTTGTTATTTCTATGGACTCTAAGAGAACTCTACTCAGTTAAAGAACCTTGCCATATGCGAATGCATTTTGTTTGTCGTCTCAATTGGCGCCAAATCTCCCTTCAGCTTAAAAGCTTATCCTTAAGCTTTTGATACTCTGACTCATTCTTTCAACTTAAGCTACAAATATGCAATTGTATTATTATAATAAATTCACCATCATCATTCTGAAAAAAAAATGATTGATATATCTAGATTCTGAAAATAGGATGTATTACTTGGCAAATTTACCTTAAAGGGCAAAAGAAAGAAAACGGAAATTAAGGAAAATTGTAAATAATTGTTGAGAAACCCAAACATTGCAGCTTGCGGGAAGAATTATCCAGGATCATGTTTGCAACCAAAAAAAGAATTGGAGACCTAATTACAAGATGTTACAGCCATCTGTTGAATTTAAGATGTGTTCATTGCTTTCAAACTGACTAAAAGTTTAGAACAGTAAAAGTGACTGTAACGAACGCAAGTTATCGACTTTCTTTTTTACGGCAATTAATAGGATCTAGTCTTGAAAAAAAGGAAAAGAGGTAAAAAACATTATCGATATCAGTCTGCATGAATAGATTTCTGGGATAATGTCAGTTAGTTATACCGCGTGCGGCTTATAACACCGGCTGTCATTCTACTGCGCTGCTTGGGAAACGTCACAAAGAGACAGAATGTAGATTAAGAATAACGCCGCGAGATTTCACATGGTGAACATGACTTATTTGCAATAAGCTTTTACCTGTACCCCGAAAATGCAATTTCATGATTGTCCGTTTTTTCAAAGACAACAGGAACGCATTTAGATTTAACTCCAGCAGTGGTCGTTAATTGTGTGTGATCAATTATTGATAACATATGAGTCATCTCTTTTTAAGATGCGGTGAAAGGGCTTTAAAAGTCGATAATTCAGCAAAATGTTTAAGTGTAGCTGTCGGCGAGTAGAATGAAAATAATTAAAAATTCAAAATGTCTTTCAAATCTGAATTATTTGTTGGCCGTACGTGACTCACTAAAAAAAGTAGAAACACAAACTACAACCTCAAGATTCACCTCTCAGGGTTTGTTTTGTGCATGTTATAGTTTCAGATTTTTAAGCCACGGCAAAACGTATTACTCTCAGGCTTGAATTTTCGTCCTCAAAAAACTTACGTAGGGAGTAATTCATTAACGAAAAAAGGCAAACAAAGCACAAGTCCTTGCCATAAGTCAAATGTAGGAGTTCAAGATTTGAAAGCTATCATCATTCCTGATTGCTTCTTAACCAACATATCCCGTCCCACGGCAACAGAAAGCTTTGGACAGAATGTTCACCTACAAATTATCATAAGTGTTAAGTTTCTACCTATAGCCGACTTTTATTCCAGAGCTCATAATTTATTTGATGCGTCTGCAACGACAAATATTTGGCCATGAGTAGCCGTTAGAACGAACAAGTAAGGATGAATTAAAGATATTTTAAAATTGACGCCGAAAAGAAAATTTAGGGAAACGAATTTAGCCAACATTTTTATCACACGTCGGTAACATGTATTTTGTGACACGAGTTTTCCTACGACGACAAAATTATGACGCAAAATGCCCTTGTGAAAAACGATAATACACGAAAATGCCGGCTTAAAAAAATATTTCTTATGTACAAAAAGGCAAAAGAAATATACCCACCTTTTTATCGAGGAAGCGCTCCCAAAACCATTATTTGCGGTACACAAAAACACTCCGTACTTGACACGAATTGTTATAACTTTGGGTTATCCGTGTGGCATATTGAAATTAGATGGCAGGAAATCCAATTGGCCGGAGCTGTCACGTGATCTGTAATAACAGATTTCCCGCTTATCAGCGCACTCACTTGATGTGTCTTTTCACTCACCGAGAAACAGGTCGTTTATTCTTACAACTCTCTTAAAATTAACTTAGGGCTTTCACCTGCGGAAAAAAAATGTTTTCTCCCTTTATCTTTAAAACGTTCAATTTTACGGTGTCGTGCAGTGAATAATTTTTTCATTCGTGATCTTCGCTCGAAACCGCAAAATTTAAAATTTATACACAACATTGAGATTGAATACATTTGAAACCAACACCTGTAATTATTTCCTAATTTGTTTGAATTATTCATAAAAACGTGCGAGATAAATAATAAGAGAGGGAAATACTATTTTTAGTAGCTGACAACACTGGTATACAGTTGGGAGAGATGTCTTACTCACCAAAAGGGGAATTATAATTTGATATACCACATAGAACCTCTAATTCATCGACAATATGGTGTGGCAGTTTTAGGGAGGCATTAGGAATCAAATCTTTAGGAGTGTGAACTTTTGGACCTTATGGTCAAACCGGTGAAAAACAAATAAATGTAATTAACTTGTTTTTATTATTTTCAGATATGGGAAAAGAATTTAGTCAAAACATCCAAAAACGCTTTAGATCCAAATCGTGGAAGTCTGGTTTTTCGAGATAAGGCAGTACTGATGCTGGCAAAACATAACTGACTTCAGAAGCCCTCTCTCGAGTAGTTTACGTGGTACAAAGCCTTATCGTTTTGTCGTCATAAATTCGGATGTCATTTCTTTCTCTTTTTTTTTTTTACCAAAAAATCAAGAGGAAAAAAAATTCTCTACCTTAGTTTTTTCCTCTTTGCTGATTGGTTCTGTTCTGCAAGCCTGAGAATTTTTTGCATATCGTTCAGAACGAATTTTCACGAAAAGTTAAGGAGTCCGATGGCTAAGCAATTGCCATCAAATTTGGCAGCTGTGAGAGGTTCTTCTCTTTGATATTGAAAAATAGATGGAACCGCCGATGTAGTAAAACGTGACCTCACGCTTTATAAATATTTTAAAACTGAGTCGGAAAGGTCAGGGAAATAAGGAAGCGGAGAGAAGAATGAAAATGGCCATGGTGTTGGCATCAGCGATGGGGAAGCACACTCAAAATGGCTTTGTACCGGGGTTCTCCGTCCTTATTACCAAATAGGGCTACTCTTTTAAACTTATACATCTGCTTTTGACAGAAAGGTACTCTTTTCATCTATTTCCGCATAGGTAGTGGTCTTGGATTACATATGTCTACGCTAAGACATTTTGTAGTAACAAAATAAAGGAAAAAGGCAAGATAGTCTCTACGATAGCCAATTCACATCATCAACTCAACCTCTATTTATTATAAGTAGTATTATCAAATTAAAGTTATTATAACCATTGCTATTGCCATTGTAAACAACTTAAAGAGAACCAAACGAATAAGAAACGAGATCGCTGTAAGTTTTTCTTCTAGTCTCGTTACCAGTGTCCCACAGACTCTGGTCACGATTTGCATTTCACTTCCGCAGTTCGTGGCTTCAAGCGCTTGTGGAGTCGAAATTTTAATAATTCATCAGAAGTGAACTGCTTTTTTGGCTATTCCTGAAGATCTGGTGGTGGATTGTGGTGTGTATCATCGAAGGAGACGCTGAAACCAGTGTAAATAACGTGTTCAAGGTGGGTTTTTGCTTAACACTGTCTGACCTCTGGAAGAACGCATGAAACATGAGTTCAATGCAAGTAGTTTGAATTCTGCAGAGCCAGAAGAAAGAAAATAAAGATAATTTTTACACACCGCAAGTGTAGACCATGTATGCCGCCAGGCTCTAAATATAAAATATTAGATCCTGGTCACGGTTTCGCTTTTGAAAATGGGAAACTAACTTTTCGATGCCAGTGTTCTACTTTTTTTCGACTGTGCGTTTTGTGTCACACAAGCGGGGCGTACGTTTCTGTCTAATAAGCGTCACGAGCGGCTGGAACTGAGTTAAGATTTGTATATGGTATACATGTGCACTGACTGTTGCGTTTAAATGTTTCCTGTGAAACCTGTAACCTCATCGCGGTCATCACCCGAACCACATGAAAGGTTTTAAGAAAAGCAACGAAATTAAGACTTCATCTGCGATTTACCCGAGTAACTGAGCTCAATGGTTGGCATATTGATAACAGCGCATTAATTTCAGACAATAGTATTTAAGATGAATTGGCTTTAAGTTAAAGCCAATTCATCTTAAACGATTTTTCTAACGAAAGATAACACTGATATTTCATGGTGAATACTAATTCATAGTACATTTGCCGTATCTCCGGTGGTGTTCATGAATATAATACAATAACGTGACGGAAATTCGTGTTCGTGGTACGGTTATTTTCATTGCTTCGTGCCAATCGGGACCACCCAACTCACTTCCATTTCACTCGCCTTTTTTTTTTTTCGATTACGATAACAATGATTTCAAAACGTTTGATTCTGGTTATTGATTGAATATAATGATCACTCTTACCTCGATAAATCATCGATAGCCTGGCCCGTTTAACCTTTTGACCCCCCAAGAGTGAATAGCATCTAATTTCTCCTTACAATATCACCCCTGAATCAAGCATTAAGGTCACAAGAATAAAGGAAATGATCACCAACTAAAAAAACTCCTCATTATTAGCTAAATTCTCCTTGTAAGCTCATTTGTAAATGTATAGAGAACAGTATGGAGAATATTCATACTGATGTAAAGGTGTAAAGGGTTAATGAAGGGTCGATTTCAAGTTTAACTTGCATCACAGAGCGGATTCGCCTCGTATCTGGCTTGTAAAAATAAAACCTATGTTGAATCGGTTGACTCAAGACTTATCGGAGTCATATCCAAATTAATTAGCAAAATTTAACTGTTATTGGCTGACCTTCTAAAAACTCCAAAGTTTTTAATTAGAACTACCGTATTACCGCTGGCATTTAAATTAAATGAGGAAATTCCTTTACTGATGATTGGGTTGTTAAGTTGCCTATAAATGCTAAACGAGGGAAGCGTTATGAATAAATTTTTTGCAAGAATTATGATGTATCTGAAAGCTTTTTTTTTTTCAGGGCCGGAGAAACCAAAGTTAATGCCATGGCATCTACGTCGCATTCCTCTGCACCAGCTGGTCCCGCAAGTGAAATAAGCATACCAAAGTACAGTAACTGGCTCGCTGTGGGTCATGCCTTAGTAAACGTACTTTGTAAGGGTCTGCGGCCTTATGTTACACGAGAGATGGATTGTCTGTATAAGTGCATAAAAAACAGAGTTGCGGATCTTCCCGATGCGGGACCCTGCCAATGTAAAACAAGAACTCATAAAATGGAGAAATGTGCATGGGCATGTGAACTTCAGTTTTTTCACCATCGAAACAAACCACACTGGAAACAAAGTGATCCCAGCAAGTGGGCGGATCCAGATCTTGGTCCTTGGGAAATAGCTAAGCTGTATATACCTGAATTGAGTCCAGGCTCTATTATTAATGGCGCGGACGACATGGATATTACTGGTATTTTGAACCTCATGTACTGGTGCAACAAATTTAAAATTTTACAGACTCGAGTCGAAGAAACTCGAAAAGCACGTAATACAAAGTGGGCTCACGTGCCGAAGCTAGAACTAACAGATGAAGAAAGAAAGACTGTCCTTGATGCTGTTGAAAAACTGCTCGAAGATTCCGCATTGGCCGATGACTCTGCCGCTAAAAAGGCCCGAGATGAAATATTACAGTTGAAATGCGACTTACAAACATTCGACTTACAAACATTCGAGCACCAAGTATTAATCCAGCACCGAAATGTGACTGAAAAAGATGTTTCAAACATGAAGAACGAGCTGAAAATTCTAAAAAGGGATCAGTCAAAACACAATAAAAGGTTTCGAGGAAGGTTGGAAGGACGTCTTCGTAACATGAGGATGGCTTTAGAAAACGTAGACAGAAGGATGCAGGAAAGGGAGTCAAAACACAATAAAAGGCTTCGAATGCAGTTCAGACGTCTTCGCAACACGGAGAAGGCTTTGGAAAACGTAAACAGAGGGATACGGGAAAGAGTTGCTCTCACAAAGCTTGTCCAAAATGGCATGTTGTTTTTCGGGTATTGCTTTATCATGTGTTCCGAGGGATTAAGAGCAAGATTGTTTGTTCCTTGGCTTATTATCCTTTTTTTGTGCAATTGCTTCACGAGTCTAGATCCCAGATCATTCGAGTATGGTAGGTAAAGCAAGATACTAGTAGTTTGCCTAGTCTTGATTAACAACTAACAACCAAACAACTAAACAACCAAACAGCCAAACAACCAAACAACCAAAAAACTAAACAACCAGACAGCCAAACCACCAAACAACCAGACAACCAAACAACCAAATAACTAAACTGCTAAAAACATAACAAAGTAAACGAGCCAACAAACCAACAATTTAGTAGTAGCTAGATACCTACTGACAAACTGACAGATAGAATGACTGACTGAGTGAATAACTTTAACTAGTGAACTATTGATTAATTAAGTAGCTAGCTAACCGAATAAAAGAAGACGCCAAAAAGACAGAAAAAACGAAAAGATTAGTCTTTTTGTATGAAAATAGCTGGACTATTTTCAAGTCACGGCAGATCAAACACATAGGAAGGTTGTGATCCAAGCTGATTTTAGCATCTCATCATGCATAATTTATTTTCCGCTGCCTCTTTTTTTTTTTTTTCTTTTTTACTTTTTCGTAGGGTCTGTAGGTCCATACCAATCAATTGGATGTTACAAAGATTTTAATGACCGAGCCATACCAACTTTGGAAGGGCAAGATTCGATCCTAGATGGCAAGTACAATGCACGGAGTAACTCTATCGAGAAATGCTATAGAGCAGCGAAGAAGCGAGGATTCCAAGTGTTTGCAGTTCAAAATGGGGGATGGTGCGCCTCAAGTGCTTTCGCCATTGGGACGTTCACCAGATATGGAAAATCGTCAGCTTGTAAGTCAGACGGCGAAGGTGGACCATGGGCCAATCAAGTTTATTATATCAAAGGTTAGTACATTAACATACTTTCGATCGTTTTACATGTGTTCGTGTGGTCTGATCGCAAGACTGTTATCGGTAGTATTGACAGACGTTTCGACGTGAGAAGTTGTGGTTCGTGTAAACTGATCGCTCAGTTTAGCCGTGATTTTATTGGCTGTAGCGTAAGTCGGTCGTGAGTGGTCGTTTTACAGTTGTTTGTCACTGAAGCCCTTTCAGGAATAGTTAATTTTTTTTGTTTTTGTTTCAGCAATCATTTTTAATCTTCTAAAAAGGCGCTGTCGTTTTGTTCGTCGTGCTAGTTCTTGTGTCTCGTGATACTGCTTTCGCCATAGTGAAAACATCGATTTTTACTTTTAAAATGTTTCCCTTTGAGCACAATCTAAGATATCCTGATTTCGTTTTGCCAGTTTGAATTTCTTATATGTTTTCCTAGGCGAGTCACTTTGGTATTGTGTTGAGATAAGAAACAAAATAGTTTACAATACTGAACAGTACCACTAGCTGAGGTATTAGGACACTCCCTAGTTTAGAGGGTTTGAAAAGAATGAACTGAGTTTGCTTCCACCAAATTTCCTTCTCTTAGGTTATCAAGCCGTAGGATGTTATACAGATGCTTCAAATCGCGCAGTGGAGACTCTAGAAGGAACAGATTCCATCTTAGACGGCGCCTACAATTCACGTGTAAATCCCATTGCAAAGTGCGCCGTGGCTGCAATGCGAAAAGGCTACAATATGTTTGCAGTTCAGGATGGCGGCTGGTGTGCAGCAAGTTCTACTGCGCCACAGACGTTTGACAAATATGGAAAATCCACCACTTGTAAGGGTGATGGCAAAGGTGGACCCTGGGCCAATAATGTCTATGTCGTCAATCGTAAGTGCAAATAAGGACTACACTTTTGGGATCATTTGCTCGAGAAATATTCAGTAAAATTCGAAAACAGTTCGCCCACAGAGGGTGCAGAGAATATTAGCGATGTTGACAAACACGACAGTACAAGTCACATAAGCTGATCACGGCTGGCGTATGACTGAAGTCACACTTACCGGATGTTATCTTTCTAATTTGCGCCTACTGAGCCATGAAACCTACTTACAGCGGCCGCACCTCTCTCAATGCCAGCTGCTGCTTTTTGTTTTCCACTGAAGTCTGACCATCATTTGATTTATAAAATATTCAAATTTCAGCGCTCGTTTTACCCTACGAAACGATCGGATGTTTTCAGGATCATGATGACCGAGCCTTACCGACATTGGAGGGACAAGATCCTATTTTGGATGGAGACTACAAAACACGACTTGATCCCATCAGCAAATGCTTTCAAGCAGCTAAGAAGCGAGGATTTCATATATTTGCAATTCAAGATGGTGGATGGTGTGCAACAAGCGCTTCGGCTGCCAAGACATTCAACAGATATGGTAAATCGTCAGCTTGTAAGTCAGATGGTGAGGGTGGACCATGGGCCAATCAAGTTTATTACATAAAAGGTCAGTGCATAACATAGTACACGGTCTGAACCTGAAGTAATAGTCGATCGTATGGTGAGCTAATCGGGTAGAGGTAATTCTGAAACCTTCTAGGCAGTAGTCCTCATTAGACACCTGAAAAAATTTTTTTTCTAGGCTATCGCATTCGGACGATCACACCGTATTGTCGACTGTTACTTTGTTGTTGTCGTGGTATATGAACAGCGTTGTCGATCTTAAAAATGGAGCAAAAGCTATCACCATAAAACCATTAAAATTATAGTGATAAGGGTTATGATTTATTTATTTTTTGTAATTCTTAAGGTTATAAGGCCGTTGGTTGTTATAAAAACAGCTCAAATGACTCTCTGCCTGATATGGCAAGTAGTGGAATCGAAACGTTGAAGGGAAAGGATTCCAGCCTAGACGATGCTTACAATTCTCGTGAAAATCCCATCGCAAATTGCGCCGTGGCTGCTATGAGAAACGGTTACAATATGTTTGCAGTTCACAATGGCGGCTGGTGTGCAGCAAGTGCCGCCGCTTTAGAGACATTTGACAAATATGGAGAATCCACGGATTGTAAAGCTAATGGGAGTGGAGGACCTGCGGCTTATAACATATATTTACTGAAAGGTAATTATGAACTGCTATAAAAATCAGGGGCGGACAATAAACGCCACTCTTTCTGATTCTTTGTAAGTTATGCCTTTTGTGGAAATAGAATGAAAAGGCTCATCCCATGCAGACTCCTAAGATCTCTAGAGATGCTTTTCCCCAAGGCATTCGTAAGAAGAATAAAAAGCTCAGCAGTACAAAAAAGTTTCAATGATACGGAAATGATGTTATTATTATTCTTCCTATTATTATCATCATATGTATTATTGATTGTGATACCAATTTAAAGCATTTTGAGACTGTACCTCGATTTAATACAAGTGATAGATGATTTCATTTCATATAACCCTCTTGCGCATACTTCCCGCTATAATTTTATAACGAACCTTATCTCGAAGTAAAAATTATTTTACTTGTGGATGGTATTACCTTACATAGTTCCTTGGTGGCAATGAAAGCTTTTGTCGTAAACAATTGCTACTGATGTACAAGGAGTCGGTTGTGTAGGGCTGTAGCAGCAACGAAATTGAATCATAATAGGTGACGTATGTTCTCGACATACAAATGTTTTCGCCTGTTTCTCAATATTTAGATCACGTTACGTTGGCTCTATCAGAATGTTGTCTTTGTCGAAGCCATGAGGAGGGTGAAGGCGATCAAAACATGTCCCTTCTAAGGGATCAGTCATTACTTTTCTCCGGGGGTGGGGTCGGAGGAGGATTTTTGGCGGATCACATGATTTTCATGGGAAACGGAGGAGGGAGCAATCGTCTCTAACGAAATTCAAAAGGGGCACTCTAGAGAATTGATTACTAATGGAGGGGGGGAGGCGAGGTTCATTAGAATACTGCGGAGAATTTTAAGGGTATCAGGTTATTAGGACACAACCAACATTCTTCGAACCCCACCCCTCCCAAGGTGGTAAATAAATTGACCAGTCCCTAAGTTATGATGCATGATTACGATTTTGGTGTCCTTTTTGTGGTCTCTAGGTTACGTTGCCGTTGGTTGTTACAGAGAGAAACAAGATCGCGCAATTGACACATTAGAAGGAAAGGATTCCATCTTGAACGACTCTTACTATTCTCGTGAAAATCCTATCGCAAAGTGCGCCGTAGCAGCCATGAGAAAGGGGTTCAGTATATTTGCAGTTCAGGATGGTGGCCTCTGTGCTGCAGATGTTTCTGCACCACAGAAGTTTGACAAATATGGGAAATCCCCGAATTGTGAGGTTGATGGTACTGGAGGACCCGGGGCTATTAACGTATATTTGATGAAAGGTAAGGTATAACAACTCTTAAGGATACCTAGTACTGGGAACAATTCGCAGAGAGCATTTTTTGACGCGTAGTTTTAGATCACTATCTCCACCATTTTGTGTTGTCTCGAATTGATCCAAAAAACATCGGGTAAAAGAAAATTGAAAACCTGATACTTACATATTCTGTGCGATAATCAGTTCAAAAACAGTAACAAACGAACATAGCAATCTCCGACACGAAACTACTTTTAGGACAAAAACCATGTGCTAGTCGGCCCCAACATCCGGCAATTACATACTGTCCTCCGAAATCAGTTAACGCCACTTTTGATAATGCTTTGCAAACTGTATGTTCTATTGAAAATAAAGTGAAGGGGAGATCTCATCAGATTCCTTAAAATCCCCCAAGTTGCCGTCTTTTCCCATCAATGCGTTAAGCACTAAAGAGCTCTATATTCCCATGTTCAAGGCAGATTCAATGATAACTGATTGCGATATCAAACATAGAAATTCGAGGACTACCTCACATTAGCGTTCGATGTATTTCAAGAGCTGAATGATTTCAATTTCATTTTACCTTTTACCCAGTCCTTTCTGCTAAAATGCTAAAGTGGCTTGTCAATGCAAAATTAATTTACAAGGAGTCATTTATTTTATTTCTTCTTTCCCCAATATTCAGGTCATAAAGCCTTTCGCTCTTATAGAACGTTGTCATTGTGGACCCTATGAATGGAGGGAAAGCTACCACGATGAGTTCCATCTAAATCACTTTTATTATGATTGTGATTTCCTTTTTTAATATTAAGAGTACGAAGACGTTGGTTGTTACAAAGACAAACAAAGTCGTGCCATCGAAACATTAGAAGGGAAGGATTCCATCTTAGATGGCGCGTACAATTCTCGTGGAAATCCCGTTACAAAGTGCGCCGTGGCTGCAATGAGAAAGGGTTATAGTATGTTTGCAATTCAGAATGGTGGCTGGTGTGCAGCAAGTTCCACTGCGCAACAAACGTTTGACGTATATGGAAAATCTACGGATTGTATGGCTGACGGTGAAGGTGGACCTTGGGCTAATAATGTCTACATATTAAGAGGTACTTTTTTGCGCAGAACCATAAGACTTAGGCAACTTATTCGAAACCTGACTGATAGTTCGCTCCACGGATGTATTCAAACTTTCATATTCTCCTCCTGATGATTTCTAGCGTTACTTGCTAACTAGTGTAATAATTTATTTTGCTCTTATTCCTTTAGATGCAAAAAATGTTAGAAGTCATGATAATTCTTCAAGTCACATGGTTCAACCTCTGAAAGAACGGACCTGGGCATGAATAGCCTTAAAGAGCAAGAATTAAATCTTTAAGTCTTAAAACCGGATGATTTTCGTACCCTTTAGTCATCAAAAGAAACGTTTTTCAAAAAAGGATGAGAATGAATGATTAGTTTTGGATTCTATATTTATGTATCGTACGCATCGCACACAAGGATCACGGTATATTACATGTATTGCTTCGGCCTTGCAAAAAAAAAGATACACACTTCGTTGCACTTATGTCCTCTTATTGCAGATATGTCCTCTGACGTATTGTGATACAGTGGCCAATCATATCCTGCGATCTATCGAGCGACACGCGGATTGGGACTGGTTAAGAGACTCCGTTGTAGTTATGTGTTCAAGCAAAAGTACTCATTCAAGGGGGTCGGGATAAGTGGAAAATTTGACCAGTATTTTCCGGTAACTGATCTCAGGAAACATGCTGTTCGCATGATCACTGCGAACCGGATCATTGGCCTCTCATATTGCTTTCCTTGAAGTTCAATCGTTCGTTAACGCAGAGTGATCGCATCGTTGTTATAACCTAAACTTGGAAGAACAATTTGCTGCGCGTGAATAACAAAGCGACTTTCGACCAAAGGATGCGTTATTGTTCACGTTTTATTTGTAGCCTTGCTTTATTTACAGTCTTCATTGCTCGACTTGCGACTTCAATGACAACATTTTAGCCACAAGCTAAGACAAAAGCACAATGTGGCGTCATATCACAATTGCTTTATTTTCTTTAATAGTTGAAGATCATAGATTATGGTTCGTCGACATAAAATTATATATTTTTGACACATCACCTGATCTGCCGGAGGTGAGATCGACTGAGAAGTCCAAGTTGTGATTATTTGTCTGCGTCACGAAGTCTTCCTTCAATCACAGAAGTTTGGCCTTCAGTTGTTTATTTTGAGTACTGTTGGTTTTTGCCGTATCGCACTAAGCCCTCCGTTAAAAAAATTGAAGTATTAGATTGTGATTTTATTGCGGTTCCCCTGATTTTAGCTGTTTTTTTTTTAGTACTGTTTCTAAATTATTGTAGGATTTATTGCACTTTTGAGTGGATTTGTCCTATTTTACCCTGTTTATGACAAATTCACACAATGATTAAATCGAAAATGGGGCTAAAGGTGGCTATGGCAAGTCAATAGGATAGAATCCACCTAAAGGATGAATTTCACAGAATTTATCCCGTTTTTCTAGAATTCATTGGAAAAAAAATGGAAAATCGGGTTGAAGATTGGATATGGCAACTTGGGATCTATTCCATTTGGAGAATAACTTTTCAGATTTTACCCTGTTTTTTGTCAAATTCACTGAAAAAAATGGAAAATCGGAGTAAAAATAGCATATGGGAACTTCGGGTATTATTCACTTGTAGCATGAATGCTCAGAATTTACCCCGTTTTTCTCGAATTCACTTATCAAATGGAAAATCGGGGTAAAGATGGCATATGGGAACTTAGCGTATTGCTATCACTTGCGGGATGAGTTCGCAGAATTTACCTCGTTTTTCTACAATTCGTTAAAAAAAAAATGGAAAATCGGGTGGAAGATAGCATGTGGGAACTTAGGGTACTATTCACTTGTAGTATGAATGCTTAGAATTTACCCCGTTTTTCTCGAATTCACTGATCAAATGGAAAATCGGGGTAAAGATGGCATATGGAAACTTAGCATATTGCTATCACTTGCGGGATGAACTCGCAGAATTTATCCCGTTTATCTAGAATTCGATGAGAAAAAAGCATTGAAAATCGGGTTGAAGATTGGATATGACAACCTAGGATCTATTCCATTTGAAGGATGAATTCTCAGATTCTACCCCGTTATTCTATAGAATTTTCAGAAAACAAAAAGGGAAATCGGGGTAAAAAAAGCATATGGGAACTTCGGGTATTATCCACAATTTACCTCTTTTTTTTCTAAAATTCACTGATCAAATGGAAAATTGGGGTGAAGATGGCATATGGGAACTTACGGTATTAGCTACTTGCGGGCCAAATTCTCAAAATTTACCCCGTAATTCTAGAATTCATTGAAAAAAAAGAAAAAAATGCAAAATCGGATTAAAGATTGGATTTGGCAACCTAGGATTTATTCCACTTGAAGGACGAATTCTCAGAATTCATCCCGCTTTTCTAGAATTCATTGAGAAAAGAAACTTTTTTTTAAAATTCCTCTTTTTTTAATTTTTAAGTAAGACTAGCGAGCCGCACAAAGGAAAAATCGGGGTGAAGATTGATTATGAAAAGCTAGGATGTATCCCACATGTGGGATTAATTGTCAGATTTTACCTTACTTGTCTCTAATAAACGAAAAAAATGGAAAATTAGGGCTAAAGATTTGATTTGGCAAAATTGGAAACTCGGAGCAAAGATAGCATATGTGAGCTAAGGGTATTATGAATTCTCAGAGTTTACCCCCTTTTTCTAGAACTAATCTATTAAAACAAAGGAAAATCTGGGTAAAGATTTGACATCACAACTTAGGTTATATTCCACTTGCATGATGAATTGTCAAAACTTATTCCGTTTTCTAGAATTCGTTGAACAAATGGAAAATCAGGGACAGATTGGACATTGCAAGTCATGATATTAACCACTCGTGGAAAGAATTGTCACGGTTTACCCCTTTTTTCTAGAGTTATTTGAACAAATCGGAATAAAGATTGGATATGGAAAAGTTATGATATTATCCTCTCGTAGGTTGGTTCAGAAAATGGAAAATTAGGGTGAAGATTGGATTTGGCATGTTGGGATATATTCTACTTGCTGGATAAATTGTAACAATTCAATGAAAAATGGAAAATAGCGGTTAATATTAGATATGTCAAGTTGGAATACATTACATATGCAGGGTACGAGCTATTTGATTGTTTTGATTTTCGAATGCGCTTAAAACATGGAAATGCATGGGAATGAACAGATATACCGCATTTGTAAGTTAGATGGCCGGAATTGCACCCTTTATTCGCGTAAAAGAATGTTGGGATGGGGGGAGGTGTCGGAAGGTTACCCTCGGGTGAAGTCAATAATTTTAGCGGTACATTGTAGAATCCCAGCACAAAGCCTGGAGATTATTGGACAAATATCACCGAGCCTGAGGAGATTTTTATCGCTGGAAAAGAGAATGTAGCCTTCCCTATGAAATATTTATCAGTCTGCATGCTGGTGTCATACAGGTTTGTTTACATACTGTTTCATGGGTTGAGTAAAATCACTCTAGTTGTTCCTTTTTTAATGTTTCATATAAATTTTGGTTACCTTTTTCCTGCTATGATATCTTTTGTTGATAAAATCATCTTGATAAATAGGATACACTGTAAGTGTTTGGAACAAATAAACACTTTTTTTGTGTCATTTAAGCAGGAGTGATTGGTGCTAAATATTTTTTCTAACCACATGTGCGAACCGTAATTAATCTAACTCAAAATTCAGGCTTAAATTGCTCATCTAACAAACAAATGGGTAGTTAAAAAAAAACTCCTTCAGTTGTACTTGAACATGCAACACTCCATGGAAATAAACATCTTCAGTACAAATAATTATTCAAGTAAATAACTTCAGGTGAAATACTGATTTTTTGGAATTTGTGAAATATAAAGTAGACTACACTGCACTAATATACAATAAATCCATTCTATCCTTTTACTCACTTGCAACTATTTGGCTCTAACTGTTCAATACTATTTGACAGATTACAGAAAGTAACTCTGTCCTTCAAATTTGCCCTTACTTTTGAATAAAATAAAGCAGTTGACACCAGATCGAGGAGTCAAGGCTATTTTATTCACCCATTCACTCATAATGGTTGGTAAGATTTCTTTTTTATATGGGTTGCTGTAAACGTAAAGATTTCAAATAAATTCTTTGCAATTTAAATGTTTGTGTCATTTTTTAAAATTTTACTGCTCTGGAAGTGCACCGGATATGAAACTCTGGAACTAAACAACTCCAAAGGAGGTTTTGTGGACAAATTCATGGGTCTGATGTGAACATGCTTAAGAGGTCACATTCTTTATTGATGTTCTCTGGCCATGTCTAGGTACTATTCACAATTTGGAGCTGCGGAATTTTGGATATAACTTGAATTAGGCATGCTTCAAAACCCAATTGAAACTGTTAGAGTGAACGCATGACCTGTTAGGTATTTAATTATTAGTATTACACTGTGCCAAATAGCTTTCCTTTACTGATTTTATTTAAAATTACAAAAAGTCTTTCTCCTCAAGTTGCCTCCATTTCCAGTCTCTCCACATTCCATAATGATGCTGTTTTGTAATGCTCAATAAGACCCATCCATCACTATCTACTTGCCTTAAGATACTTGCCACATCAGTTCTGTGGTCTCGTTGGTCCAAAATTTCAAGGCTCTATCCCACTTGTAATGAAAAATATTTGTCTCAACCTACCCATCCTTAGCTGCCTCCATTAATCAAAATTAACCTTTTTTTCTGTTGTCATCACTGCATGGTAACACCCTCTTAGAACATTTATCCCTTTCTCCTTCCTTAGTTTGAAAAGATATTGCTCAGTGATGGCATTAAGGCCTTGGAATACCTTCCTTCCTTCCTTCTTTCAAATAGAGAATCTGTAGGGTTGGAATCTGTGAAGAAAATCAGTCTCCATTAGAAAAGAAACTTTAATGACACTCACCTGATGAAAGACTGTCTTTACCAAATTGGTATTAAAATGCACATTTGGCCTACTTTCATTGGGTTGGTTGGACTTCTTTGCTAATGAAGTACCACTAACCTTGAGTATCAGTATGTTAATGATAATATGCTATGAATTAACTCA